TGCGGGAACTTATGACCCTTGTTTGGCCATAAAAAATTTTAGGTTTGTAGATTGTAAAAGTTAAAGAAAAAAAAAAGAAAAAGAAAATTGACTCTTCCCCAGCAAAAATAAAAGGAGTTTGTGGGTAGGCAATGAATCTAAACAATTTGGAAAGATTAGGTTCAAACGACATGTTGATTTTTCCAAACCAATTTTTAATGACAGGGAACAACATGACTGCAAATGCCACCGATAAAGCCAGCAATAACCAAACTAATCCATAAAATTAACAGATAAAAGTCAAAGAACGCTATGTGTGCCACGGGCTGAGCCACACAACCCCATGAGGGAGGTACTGTTACTGTTCCCATATAACGGGATATGAAGCCTCAAGAAATTAAGCCTGGATTTGAACCCAGGTATGACCATGGAGGAAGGAGCCCTGGTGGCACAGTGGTTAAATGCTCATCTGCTGACCAAAATGTTGGCAGTTCTAACCCACCAGATGTTCCGTGGGAGAAAGATGTGGCAGTCTGCTTCCGTAAAAATCACAGCCTGGGAAACCCCCATGGGGCAGTTCTCTCTGTCCTATAGGGTGGCTATGAGTCACTAGACTATGAGTCAGAGTCGACTCGATGGCAATGAGTTTGTTTTTGTTTTTTTGGTTTATGACCATAGAACCCAAACTTTTTTTTTTTTTGTCTTATATTTTGTCGTTGTTGGAATATATACAGCAAAACATACACCAATTCAACAGTTTCTCCATATACAATTCAGTGACGTTGATTATGTAAGTTGTACAACCATTCTCATCCTCCTTTTTGGAATTGTTCCTCCGCCACCACCTCTAAGTTTCCTATCTAATCTTTCAAGTGTTGTCAATTTGATCCCATATGTATAGTTCTTAAAATGCCTCAAGTAGACATTCTTTACTAATTAAGCTAAACTATTGCTTTGTTTAAACAAGACTTCAGAGGATATAATTGCTTTAATGTTTAAAGACTATCTCAGGACAGTAGTTTAGGGGGAAACTCAAGCTTTTAGTCACCATGCAATACCACTCAATACAGATAATATTCCAAAAAACAGTGGCCCTAAGCTCAAGGGCTTATGTTGATTCCCCTTCGTTTGATCTATTTATATGGCATTTTGGAATTTTAAATTACTATTTGATGCAATTGCTCTAATCTAGTTCCATTTCACTTTCAGAAAATGGATATAGAAAATTAGATCACTTGAAGAAGCTCAGACAAATCACAGAATTTGGAGATATGTTTCTGATAACTTCGTTTAGGCACCTAAGGCTTAGAATATTAGAATATAAGTGGAACCTTCTTGGAGAAGTAAGAGAAAACAATCCGACACCACTTGGTCTCTACTCTGTCGTATATAGTGTGTATACTGGGACACTGTTGTAGGGATGCTGTTTTAGCCAGGGAGGCATTGTTGGTTGACTGGTAAAATTCTAGCCTTCCATGCAGGAGACTTGGTTTAATTCTCCACCAATGTACCTTATGCACAGCCATCACCTGTCAGTGGAGGCTTGCATGTTGCTATGAGTCTTGCATGATGCTTAACAGGTTTCAGTGAAGCTTCCAGACTAAGACAGACTAGGAAGAAAGGCCCGGCAATCTACTTCCAAAAATCAGCCAGTGAAAACTCTGTGGATTACAACAGTCCAAACCGAAACAAATCGTGGGGTTGGCACAAGAATGGGCAGCATTTTGTTCCATTGTGCAAGAGGTCATCACGGGCCAGGGGCCAACTTGAGGACAGCTAGCAACATAATCAGCTCAACCGTCTGTTAGGAATATCGTTTCCACTCATTCAAAAACAATTACTGAGCACCTCTTTACCTAACACTGTGCTACGTACTTGGTATTCAGCAGAGAACAGGAATGGTGTACCAGTGGGGAAAATTTAGATTTGCACAGATTTACACAGTTTCTGGTTCAGTGACATCACATTCCCATGTCTACCCCAAGCATTGCAACTTGGCAGCATTAAAGGCATCATTCCTTCTCAGAATGCACCACATTAACTACTTTTAGGAGTATTGCTTTAAAGATCTACAGAGATGTGGAAATGGTAGATGATTGATGGATGTTAATAGATGACCGATAGGTGATTGATGGACAATTGATGGATGATCAATGGATGATCAATAGTAGATCAACAGATAGAGTAAAAATAAAATAAGCGACTTTGATCACCAGTCTGAATCTGTTTTGGTAGCGTAGTGTAAAACTTTCCCACCAAGTGTATATTACAAGGGCTTCCCTTTCAACCAAGTGTTAACACGTAGAAGAACTCTCTCTCTGTAAAGCGTCAGACTCCAGAATCAGTTAAAGATCTTCATAGCAACTCCTCAGGGTCCTGTTAACAGTACGTTACACTGCTGGGCAATTCTCATCTTTCACAAACTTATATGATCTACTTCCTACCAACGTCAAGATGAAAGCCCACTCACTGATGTAAGTTTCCATTCTTGCCGCTAGCCTAAATCCAGCCATGTCCTCTCTGTAAAGCCAGTCATTCAGTCAGAGCACTGGTTACAAGGGTCTACCCTTCAAAGGGGGCTCCATCCGGGATCATCACCCTTTAGGACACCTAGCACTAAAGCTACCTAGAGAAATTAAAAGTGGTGTGCTGTAAACTGTGTAGAAATACTCACACATAACACCCACAACACTCCTACCCATTCCATAGAGAGATACGTTTTGCAATTAGAACACAGTCATGTTAGTAGGTGTTAGGTATACAAAGGTAGCTAGCAATCTGAATTGCTAAATAGATGGAAAGAAAGAACAGGCGAAGAAGTAATTATGGGCCTTCTATTACGGACTAATGACTCCAATTTGAAATGAAGTGGAGAAACAGATTTCTTAAGTGTCATTTTCAGGCACCAGTTAACACCCACAACACTCCCATTATTTCTGTTGGAAATGCTCAATTGGGAGACATTGTTCTTCCTGAAATGCTGGGGGTAAAGTAATCCCGTCACGCAATGCAGAATACATCCATAGGTGCTCTTGCTGCAATTCAAAGGAGTGCCCACTCCCCACATCCACCCCCGCCCCCACACACACACCCCTCTTCCTCTTTAACTAACCGAACCTGTCCCCGTGTTCCACAAGTAAGTCTCAGATCCTGCCACCAGGTGGCAGGAGTAATCAGCATCAAGAAGCTCAAGTTCACAACAGAACCAGGTAACATTAGTCAGGGTTCTGAAAGAGAATGTGGAAACATCAGATAACTGGAACTGCATTTTATAGATGCGGGGACTGAAACTTGGACGGATGTGACCTGCCCAGCATCACACATGTAATTAGGGGCCCTCACGACTAGCCCTCTCACCCCTGCAGTGCCCTGCTTTTCTACCAACTCATGATCAGTTTTATTTTTAACTTTATATTAAGGAAAATTTCAGCATCCATAAAAGTAGGAAGATAGTAAAATGAATTCCTAAGTATCCATCAGCCAGCTTCAGGAATTAGCAACATTTTTCCATTTTCCCACTGTGTGTGTGTGTGTGTGATATATATATAAAATATAGTCTCACACCCACACTATCTTATTACACCAACTACCCAGAGGTACTGCATTGCTTGGTACTGTATATCACTAACCAAAAAAAAAAAAAAAAAAAACAAACCCGTTGCCATCGAGTTGATTCCGACTCACAGTAACCCTATAGGACAGAGTAGGGTTTCCAAGAAGCAGCTGGTGGATTCCAACTGCCGACCTTTTGGTTTACCAGCCAACCTCTTAGCTATTAAGCCGCCAGCGCATCGTTAAAATCACTGTGGTTCATTAAAGACAGACAATCTCACAGATGATAGGGCTAACGGGGCATTTCCTAAAAAGGTATAGGGATCTCCCTGACACTATTTATCAATCGACTTACTTGGACTTTGTCGTTGTTAGCTGCTGTTGAGTTGGCCGCCAACTCATGCCAACCCCATGCACAGCTAACAAAACGCTGCCCGGTCCTGTGCCATCCCTGTGATCGGTTGTGAATTGGACCGTTGTGATCCATAGGGATTTCATGGACTGATCTTCAGAAGAGCTCACCAGGCTTTTCTTCCTAGTCCATCTTAGTCTGGAAGCTCTGCTGAAACCCGTTCGACCTTATAGCCACATGCACGCCTCCAATGACAGACGGGGGTAGCTTTAGTACCCTGTGAAAAAGCAACTTAGAATGAAACGGGAGAAAGATTAGGACTCAAAAAAGATAAAAGAGAAATGAGCCAAGTGTTTGTCACATCTGAAGAACAGCAGCTGGGGGCTCAGGAAACCCCTCCAGGAGCGAAGCTCACTGAGCTCCTTAAAGTAATCCCAAGATGGCGTCACAAAAGAAGGCATTTTTGTTCTGCTCATTACTGCCAGAGCTTGCTTTAAATCAAAGAAATGTATTTTAACATGTCATAAATCCAACATCTAAGAATATAATTATCCAGCCTGTGGTTTACTGTATTTTGTTTCATAAGTTGAATTTTATTAGTTGTAAGTCTATGTGATACGCTAGAAAGGAGTCTGGAAACCCGCAGTTAGTTCCAACCCTGTTTATTAAGAAGTTACGTGGGTGGTTGTTGTTGTTGTTAGTTGCCAGTCAAGTCAGATCCAACCCACAGCGACCTTACGTACAAGAGAACGAAGCCGTTGCCTAGTCCTGCGCCATCCTCACGATTGTTGGTATTACATGGCTTGCAAAAAAACCAGTTACCATTAAGTCGATTTCAACTCAGAGCGACCCTTTAGGTGGCCTAGGCAAGGGTAATTATCCTCAAGTTGGACCACACAGGTCTTTTCTATCAGAACAAAACAAAACTCATTTCTGTTGCTTCATGAGCCCAAGGGTCATTGGTTATTACTTGAGTCCCATGACTCAGAGACACCTAATCTTTGTCCCGTCCCTCAAAAGTCTTCTGTGCAGCATGCATTGAAAGAGTGTTTGTTTTTGTTGTTGTTTCATTTCCTTTGCTCTGACATTCTATTTTTGCAATCTGTACTTTCTTCTTAAAATGAAGATGACTTTCTTAAAAACAGAAACATATCAGGAGACGACTCACTTAGGAGTAGAGCTGTGCAAAAGGGAGAGCGTGTCAACACCAAACAGGTCGGATTGCACTGCTGTGAGTCAGGCTGTAAACCATGGAAACCGCTGGGCAGCAGGCATGTAAAAACCGTAGGAACAGAAAGCATGCTCTCAGCTGGCACGCAGAGAAATAGATCAAATGGCAAATAGAGTTTGTAAAGCAAGAGTCGTGAGGAAAACACACGTGCCCAAACAAAGAGATTTTAGGTTTATAATACATTTTGTCCTCAAAGTTCCCTAATGGGAAGGCTTTCTCTGATACTTCACTGTGACAGATTGCCAGCTCGTCACAAGGCAAAAAGCACTGGCTTAAACGAAAGCATCTGAACTTTAAAGTAAATGTATCAGACAAATCAGACAAGGAAGGCTCTAAGATGCGGTTCTAAAACTGTTCCATCACTCCCTAGATTCCCTAGGGCTCCTTAGTGGTACCTAAGCAAGGCTGAGGGGACCCTGTTCCCTGTCTTCCATCCCCACTCTTACTACGCCACTTTTACCTCTTTTATATATAAGTTATGGGTAGTATTTCATTTGAAGAAAGACTTCTGCCACTAAAAAGTGAGCAAATCACGCATGTAGCTAATCCTTTAAAGAGTAATTCTGGGTGCCTTTCATTGTGCCATTCATTGTGGGGAGTTTGTACTGTTTATTGTGGGGCACGTTCTCATTATAAAAGAGTAACTTGTAGAAAGTGTGGAAAATTAACACACTGAAATTTGGAAAATAACAAATGACCCGTAATTCCAGAAAAAAATCAGCACTTAACATCTTAGAATATAGCCTTCCAATATTTTTATGCAAATATATACCCATATGTGTATTACCCGTATTGGAAATCATACTATGCATATTATTTAGTAACTCTCTGTTTCAATTAATTTACTGTAAAAAGTGTTCATGTCACTAAATATTGTTCAACAAACAAAAAAGAAAACAATAGTACTGCCGGACATTCCGTAGATAGCAGGTAATTTGGGGTAATTTCGCTCTAAGGAAACAATCATTTAAATCAAGTGTTTACCAAACTATTAGCCAAGCTAGGTGTTAGATGGCGAAAAAAAGGAGTAACACACGTCTCCACCCCTGTCTTCAGCAGCTACAGCTTTGGGCTCAGCTGGTCTCTTTCCCAATTATCCTCTCACTCTCCTCGTTCCTGAGGTCCAGCCCAGAAAATGAAGGTAGCGGAGTTAACAGTATAATGGAGATTGGCATTAATGGACTAAATGGGCTTTGAGAATCCTTTCAATTCAGACATGTTAAGGATTTATTTCTATGTTAAGTAAAGAGAATCAAAAGCCGCATTGGATCTGCAAGAAAACAAAAGCTGAGATTTGGCATTATACCCCTTAGAGCATGTTCAGAACCGCTCCACGTGTGCTTACTTTCTCCCTAGCCTCATAATGTCTGGAAAGATTATTTGAAATGTTATTGCAAAATGGTGGGTGATAGGAGATCCTCTGTGCCATCCTAGGAATGGGATGGGTCATGGATATTTGAGAGCTTAAACTGCGCTGAGAAAGATTGCCCGTAAAGATGGTCCACATGTATAATTTACCCAATTAATTAGATCTAGGACTAGCAGAACAAGGGAAATACTCCCCCTTAGCCCAACTGAAAGAAGGACCCTAGGTACCAAGGAGAGGTTTATAGGGCCTTGAAGGCGCTGAGCTAGTCATTACATCTGCAGACCAAGCTGTGTGCAGCCAGAAAATAAAACCAGCTTTGAGCTCATCTTTTCAAAACTCGTGCTGGCAGAGGATAAAGGGAGATTTATGTGGCCCCTGCTATTAACTGCATTTAGCACTTGCCTGAAAACAGAGCTGGAATTGAATGATCACAGTGGGGAGAGGAGCAAAAAGCAGAAATATGAGCCTGTTCCCCAAAAGAAAAGGAGAAAATACCAATGAGTTCTTTGGATCGCTGGTTTTAGAGTCTAGAGGGCTCATCATTACACCATGGAACCACCACCAATGAGTTCTTTGGAAGGAAAGGGGGAGGTAATTGTGATCCTGGTTTTTTGTGATTATAAGAGGGAAAATGTCTGTGCAGTAGATAATAGAAGCAATCTCTCATCATAATTTAAAAGAAACTTTTGAACATTCTTTGCCAGGATTCTGAGCAAAGGAAATCAGTATCCATTTCACCCAGAATTTTCATTATTCCATCTCTGCTTCAATGTTTGATTTCCAGGAGGAAGAAGGTGTCAGCTTTGAGCAGGATTCTCCAAAAAACACAGAAAACATAGAAGACAATGAAGATATGCATCCAAAAGGGTACAGTTTTTAAACCAGGGAAATAACCACACCTACCTCCTATGTGGTTTTGCCACTTTGCTTTATCCTCACCTAATTTTTAACATCAATTATGATTTATTAGAGAATTATGATTTACTGTCACCACCACCAATCTCCCTCCCCACTACCTACCCAACACCATTTTTGGAAAAATGAATGGTGCTCTGGGATAATCAATGTGGTAAATTTAAACTGCTGATGTCCTGAGAACCCAATATACTGGATTTAAATTCACCCAGGACAGTCTTCTAATTAAATTACCAACTAATTGCACCAGTCCATACAGAAGCAGTTCTTTCATCTTCTCAATTAATTAATCTTCTCAATGTTGATCAATAAGCAACTGGTTTCTCGAAACTCAATTCACTTTAAATCCCAAGAAATAGATGCTGTTATTTTCTAGTATCCCAAAGATACTCTGTCTTAGTTATTTACCTAATGCTGCTGTAACAAAAAATACCACAAGTGGGTGGCTTTAAAGAACAGAGATGTATTGTCTCACAGTTTGGGAGACTAGGAGTCCAGATCAGCATCAGCTCTAGAGAACAGTCCTTCCTTGTGGTAGCTCCAGGTGTCCCTTGTCATTCTTCGGCTTGTAGAGAAACCTTTATATGATGTCTGTCTTCTCCCTGTGTCTGTGTGTCTCTGTGTCTATTCTGCTCTTTTTATAAAACACTAGCCAGAAGGAATTATGTTTAGAGCCCATACTACTCTGGTATGACCTCCTTAACATAACAAAAGAAAAATCCTATTTCCAAATGGGGTCATATTTACAGGTACAGGGTTTAGGACTTCAACGTGTCTATTTTGGGGGGACACAATTCAATCCATATTATACTTCAAGTCCTTACAGCCCCAGAAATAGGAAAGGCAGGATTATTTTTATTTTTCAGACCAGGAAAACGAAGCTCAGAGAAGCGACTTACCCAGAAATAGAGTTAGGTTACAATTTCAGATTCTGATTTCTATTCCAGGATTGTCTGGTACTCTACCATAATACTACAGTATTGGTCCAGTTCTTATATTCCTATTTAAATTTGATTTAAATTCCCACTCCTCTGAGGAACTTTGTTTGCTCAGAATTAGGATGGAACTCTTGTGACATATACATCATCAAGAATATCTACCACCTCAGAAACCCGAGCTCAGTTCCATCCTTCATGAGTCTCTGAAGGACCCTGGAGGCTGGGAAATGCCCTTGGGTGGTCAGAGGTACTCAGATTACACTTCATGTTAATGATGGAAACAATCACTAGGAGGTCAGGAATTTTTCAGCCTAGACAACCAAATGGCCCAAGTGTCTATTTCCAGCTACTTTATTCAGAGTCAGATTGCTATAATGGACTACACACATTTGCTGCAATTTAAAAATCTGATAAATCCGACCTAGCAGATGTGCCCTATTAAATGTCACCCTCTACCCCTGCTACTTATTAACACTACATCAGTAACTGAGGGGAATGCATTGTTAGCCTTTCCTAAATTAAACCACGAAAACCATGAAAAATTTAATCATCACTACTTGTTTGTGTCTCCAATATCTCCTAGGGTAGTATTACTAATTGTCAATATGCACATTGACATACACACAACAAAAGTTTCATGAAATACTTATTACTGTGTGTGATACACTCTGATATTTCCTATTCCTTTTTTTTAGTGATGGTTATCATGTGTTGTGTTGACTTCACAACCCACCAATAGGTCCCAACCTACAGTTGCAAAATACTGTCCCTGATAAGCAATGCGTCCTCCTCCCATTTCATTGATCTGTTAGTTCAATAAAATCCTGTTGAGCACCCTTTATGTCCAGTTCTCTAGGGTTCACAGATACCTCTTCTCCAGGAGGTTATAGTCGGCCGTGAGTTCATAGCAAAATGCAATCAAAGAAGACAGTCAGAGGAAAGTGTAGAGGAATGCTTCCGTCCGAGGAGATCTAAGAAGGCTTCATAGAAGCTAGTGACTGGAGATGTACCATGAAGTTTGAAGGGTGGCGGAGACTTAGACATGTTGGCATGATTCCCTAAGAAGAAGGGAAGTGAGGGCATTAACCAGGGGAGAGGAGGTCTCCGAGCTAGGAGATGAATCCTTTGAGATCCTGGAGGTTGGGAAGCATCTAAATGGGATGAGAAGTGGTTGTTATATAAATGCTGGCTAGTGGCCTGGAAGTGGCAAGGGCTAAATCCTTCTACTAGGCCTCACGTGGGAGGCCTGAGTCACAGGTGTCACTGAGGAACAAGGCACCTGCTGAGAAGCCAGGGTTCAGTTCAGGTGTGGAGGGGACAAGGAGCATCCCAGGAGAGATAGAGGATGGTAATTGTGAGCACAGTTCTGTGGGCTCTCCAAACTCCCTGCTGAAGTGGTGAGATATACACATTGCTCACACACTACCCATTGACCCTATAACAAAGCCCTGGATGGAAAGAAGAACATGCCACCAATTCCAGAACTTTCAGAGAAAGGCATGACAACCCATTGGTAATCAGCCCTCAAATCCACAAGACCTTACTTTATATTTCAAGCACCCAGTGAAGTCTTTCAGCCTTAGGTTAAAGAGGGTGGTGACCAAGGACAGAGAAGCACCCACTTGCCAGAATTTAGTGGAACCAGGAGGGATGACCAAGTTTGTTGGATTTGTATTTTTTCAATAAAAATTTAATAACCACTGGTTAAATCTAATGGAAGCCCTTAGAATCTATCCAGAGACACTCTCCTCCTGTAATTTATTTCAGCTTTTGGCTAGTTATCCATTTCCTCTGCTCTATTAACAGAAGCATGTTTTCTGTGCCTCTGTAACCCCTCGGGGCTTAGCATGCTCATTCAGTAAGCATCGATCCAAGCTATTGCGGAACTGATTCTAAAATGAAATGAATGCTTCCCCTTCCTATTTTGTAGGAAATACATTTCGTGAATTTGTATTTTGTTTGTGTCCCAAAGCCGACTACCGAACCCAGCCTTCGCACGCAAGTTTATTTCATGTTTTTGGTAGTCACTTCCGTCGACCTTTTTGCTTTTGTGTTGTTACAGGTACCTGGAAAAGAAATATGATGCAATTTGTGGTATTTGTAAGAAACACAAAACCACACTTAAGTACATCATCTGGGGCATTTTATTAGCAGGTGAGTAACAAAGGGGAAGGGGAGACCAATGTCTCTTTTTGGGAATCCCCCAAGTATTAGCTAGCTTTGGGTGGAAAGCTGCTAAATCTCTCCTCCTCCTGGACCTCACTGAATTATGCAGGGAGGAGGAGGAGTAGTTAGGAAGCCCCTGAGTCTCGGGTCTCAGCCTGCGATACCTATGCAACTCCTTCTCTCCCTGATTATAAACCAGCAGCTGATTTTTCTGAACTATTTACTCTCACAGCTCATATAGTTACTGTGATGTGGATTTGAGGGGTTGGGTTGGTTAATGCAAATCCAGAAAGTGAACAATTTTTAAGTGACTAGCTGACTTGGAGGGAGCCCTGCTGGTACAGTGGTTAAAGCGCTTGGCTGCTAACCTAAAGGTCAGTGGTTCAAACCCACCAGCTGCTCCTCGGGAGAAAGATGTGGCAGTTTGTTTCCATAAAGATTTACAGCCTTGGAAACCCTATGGGACAGTTCTACTCTGTCCTTCAGGGTCGCTATGAGTCAGAATTGACTGGACAGCATTGGGTTTGGTTTTGGTAGCAGGCAAGGTGATGACCACAAGGTAAAAACCTAATTGCAGGGAGCAATGTGAGCAATTGATACTTTATGCAATTACAAAAGTACAACACAAAGAGAGCCTAGAGTCGACCAACCCACGCCTCTTGCCTGAAGGCAGGATCAAAACCAGTTGCCATCACATCAACTCCAATTCATGCGACCCCATGTGTGTCAGAGTAAAACTATGCTCCAAAAGGTTTTCAGTGGCTGATTTTTCAGAAGTAGATCACCAGGCCTTTCTGAGGTGCCTCTAGGTAGACTCGAACCTCCAACCTTTAGGTTAACAACCGATCAAGTAAACTGTTTCCTCCACCTGGGACTTCAAAGGCAGGACAGTACCGTCTTAACAGATGATACTGTCTCCTGTTTTCACTCCCTCCAGACAAAGGGCTCCAGAGACCGTTTTTAAGACCTCTCACATCTATAAAATGTAAACACTGCAAACACTACCACCAAAGTCTTCCAACATTATCCAGGACTGCTGAGCCCCACAGGGCACAAGGTTTTGATGGTGCTCAGACATCCAGAACAGGAACCAGCAGGGGTTGGCAAACTTTTTCTGGACTAGGCCAGATAGTAAATATTTAGGCTTTGTTGACCAAAAGGTCGAAACCATGCAACTCTGCAACTGTAAGTGAAAATAGCCGTAGATCCAAGGCAATGCATAAACGAATGGGTGCGGCTGTGTTCCAACACAATTTTATTAAGTGGCAGGCCAGATTTCACCTGTGGACCATAGTGTACCAACCCCTGCTCTAGACCAGTGACTTGTGTGGGTGTTCATTGTAACAAATAAAAAGTTAACAATTAGCTGTTTATTTTAAACATGAACTCCCACAAAGAGACCTTATTATTCTTCTTATCCCAGCATCTCCTTTGAAAACAGCCACCTTGGTAATTGCCCCTACCTCTTTCCCTTAGAGATGCTGTGGCAGTTAGAGACTGTCCTTTAGTGGGTCTATTATACTACTCAAGTTTAGGCCAAATCAGAACTGGGAATCAGGAGAACCAACTCGTCTCGGCCAGTGGTTGCTTAAACACATGGCCTTTCTTTGACAGTAGCTCACTGGTGAGCCTGAATGCCAGGGCCAATGACCAAGCATCGAAGACTCAAGAACTCAGAAGGTTCTGCAACAAAAAAGGCCTAGCCCTCTGCCTTCCTAGCATTCATACTGAGAATGTCAGAGACTTACTTTGAAAACACACACACACACCAAGTACAGTACTTAACCATCAGAGGTGCTAATAACCCTATCAAGAGCACTCCTGCATTCAATAATTTACTGATTGCGCCCCTCCTCACCTGAGCCAGATCCGGATCCGTGGCTGACAACTGGGCTCCAGGCTGTATTGGTAATGCTTGTATCTGGTTTGCTTCCCCGACAGGTTACCTGGTGATGGTGATTGCAGCTTGTGTGCTGAACTTTCACAGAGCCCTTCCTCTTTTTGTGATCACCGTGGCCGTCATTTTCTTTCTTGTCTGGGATAACTTGATGGCTAAATATGAAGATCGAATTGATAAGCTCCTGTCTCCTGGAAGAAGGCTTCTGAACAGACATTGGTTCTGGCTAAGGTGGTAAGTACAGTTGGTTCTTATTCCAGTAGAGAGGGATCTTGGTCTATTCAAACACTGTTCCAAAATGTGTTCTCAACTTGCTTCCCCATCTATGGGATATTGAAGCTAGAAACAACCTAGAGAAGATTCTGTTTCAATGCCTTCATTTTACAAACAGGAAATCAAGGCCTAAGTAAGCCAATGACTCATTCAAGATGTGTTCAATTGCTCCTACAGACTGCCTTAATTTCAAGTGTAACTAGATAATAAAATGTCCCAGAGATATTAATTTAATAATTTTCTGTGTACTACATTAAAGAGAGAGCCATGTACTTGTGTATCAAGAAGGAGTTGTTAGGAAAATAGAATAGTGCAAGGGTTTAGTCATAAGTGAAGTCCCTGTGTGGTGCAATTAATGCACTCAACTGCTAACCAAAAGGTTGGAGGTTCAAGTCCATCCAGAGGTGCCTAGTGACCAACTTCTAGAAAATTAGCCATTGAAAGTCCTGTGGAGCACAGTTCGACTCTTGACACACATGGAGTCACCATGAGTTGGAATCGGCTCAACAGCAACTAGTTTTTCCCTTTCCAAAAAAGTCTTTCTCTCTGACCCCTGTATATATCCTTGGTCCAGCCAAGGGGTCCAAGAGTCATGGAACAGTTTTTTGGGAGCCATCTACTTCCAAATCTATACATGGGATGAGGTATCTCTCACTCCTGGTAGCTTAAAAAAAAAAACAAACAAACAAACAAAGGCCCATTCTTTTGTATTTTTTGCAGTTTTTTTTTTTTTTTTTTCCTTTTGACGTGCATGAGAACTTCTTTAATGTAATCTGGCCTATCAATCTTTTCTTTTATGATGTATTCCTTTGTTTTCAGGTTACATAGTAACCTGTAATGGAAATATTGACTTTGTGTTAAATGTTCATGACCTCAAACCCAGAAAGCAGTTAGAAAGTAGACCACAACTTGATGCAACCCACATGATTTAAGAGAATTTTCCTTATTCTGAGAAAAGGAAAAAATCAAGTGGTGGAACATGGGAGACAACGTTGCTTAACGCTTTGGCTGCTTGCCTTGGTAGCCACTTCAGAAGAGGATCTATTGCAATTTCTGGAAGCACAACTTCCTGGAGGCACGGTGTGTTACTCTTGTTAACAACAGTCTTTGTTAGTTAAAGCCTGATGACAGTTTTCAAGTTAGCACACCAAATGATGCCAGTGTTTCCCTTCCCGTTCTCACAGGGTGATTTGGAGTTCACTGATCCTGGGGGTGATTTTCTGGCTGATCTTCGACACGGCCAAATTGGGCCAACAGCAGCTGGTGTCCTTTGGTGGTCTTGTAATGTTCCTTCTCCTGGCATTTCTATTTTCCAAGCACCCAACCAAAGTAAGTGTGAAACTGGTCTTTACTGGGTTTTTTTTTCCTCTCTCTCTCTTTTTCTCTTTTTTTCCCTATAACTTGCTCAAAATACTGATTATGAAGAAAGTAACTATCATCCAATGTTGTGCTTACCTTGTTATGAGATTTAAAGTGGCTAGGGTACCAATCTTCCCGAGCTGTCACAGAATCATCCATTACTCTCACATTTTTCATTCACAGTAAATTTCCAGTTACATAACGAGTGAGATGTTCCTTCCCTGTCAAGCCCAATTTCTATTCATGTCCCCCACCTCCCACCAAGAAACACACATTCAAAAAAAAAAATCCATTTTAATTCAGATTTCCCCAGACCAGTAAATAATCTAATATTCTATCATTGAATTCTACAGTTTATTGGATTTCCATTTTGCAATTCAGACTTTTTTACTCTAAACATTTGTTCTTAATGTTGTTTAACAACTTTGTTCACTTTGAATCTAATTCTCATCCCTGTTCTGTGAGCTTTAGCCTATTGCATGGGCAAAAATTCTGAAGCATTGAAGATTTCATATATGCCTGAACAATAACAAAATCTAGATTTTTACGGGCTGAAAGATTGGTTGACCCAAGAAAAAAATAACTGATGAGAGACTACAGTCACCGGATATGATCCAAATTCTTTGTCTTGTTCAGTTGACCATCTCCATTGTCTTCTGTGCCTGCAATCCCATAGTCCTTTGCAGGCCACTCATCTCAGCACCAACAATAAAAGCAAGATTGTCCCTTGCTGTTGCTCTCCCTGGATCTGCATCAGAGTTAATTGGTTCCTTTCACTGTGAAATGAAAGCCACTCAACAGGACTGAATTTCACTTCGTTCTCTTACAAATTGTCTGATCACCAATCCTTGGACACTCAGAGAAATCATATTCTGCCTTTCCATTTTCCAGAAGTAATTACATGTGCCTAATATTTACAGGATTACTAGGAAGGCCAGTTCCTTCTTCCTTTAATGGCCCTTCTTAGACTACTCTTTGTGTCTAAGTGATTTTATCACGACATAATGGTTGCATACTTCCCTGGGGCTGAAGGCTTCAAATTCAGGTTTAAGAAAAGGGGATGTAAGCCTGGGATTTTAGATATTTATCAAAAGAAAAGTCTTACCAATATTGTAATTCGAAATTTTATTTGATTTATAGATTCGTGAATTGGGCAGCACAGTTTCTAACGCAACTAGAAAAGTGCTCCCCAAAACAAAGACAAACTAGGGTTTGTATGTTGTTGTTCTGTGCAGTCAAGTTGATTCGGACTCATAGCAGCCCTACAGGACAGAGTAGAACTGCCCCATAGGGTTTCCTAGGCTGTAATCTTTACAGGAGTACATCGCCATGTCTTTTCTCCCGCAGAACAGGATAACATACAAGTAACAACAATAACAAAAAAAAAAAAAACAGAGAAAAAGTAAAATAAATCTTTTTTTTATACGATGAAGTTACAGCTGGTCATTAGTTTTACCATACTATCAAGTCATGAAGGAGGCCTGGTTGCACAGTGGTTAAGCACTCGGCTGCTAACTGAAAGGTCAGCAGTTGGAACCCCTAGCTGTTCCACCGGAGAAAGATGGAGCAATCTGCTTCCATAAAGATTACAGCATCAGAAAACCTATGGGGCACTTCTCTGTCCTATAGGGTCAGTATGAGTCGGAAGCAACTCGACGGCAACAGGGTTTTTTTTTGGATTATCAGGTCATGAGAAAAGGCAGGGCGTGTAGAGCAGTTAAATGTTTAAACATCCAACTTGGAACATTTGAGCATGTACATAAATTAAAATTGAAACCCCTGGTGGCATAGTGGTTAAGTGCTACGGTTGCTAACCATAAAGGTCAGCAGTTCGAATCTACCAGGTGCTCCTTGGAAACTCTGTGGGCCAGTTCTACTCTGTCCTATAGAGTCGCTATGAGTTGGAATAAGTTTCACAGCAAGGGGTTTGGTTTTTTTTTTTTTTTTTTTTTTGGCAAACAGAAATGTTTTTGCGCAAATCAAGAAAGTCGAAGGAGACAGGAATTTTGCATGAGACCCCTGAAGTGAAGCTACCCATGCCCACGTTCCAGTGAGTCTGGAAAAAGATTGAACAGTTTCTATCATAGGATTCTCTGCTTAGGGCTGCTTTGGCTTTCCAGAGAAGGTGGGTCACAGACCACATCTGAGAATGCTGCAGGCCACACATTTGCTTTCAAGGAAATGGTGGTCTTCTGAGTGTTCATGCCCAGCTCAGCACTGAGTTTCTAATATAAGATCTATGTCTTGACCTTTCTCCATAGGTTTACTGGAGACCTGTCTTTTGGGGACTTGGGTTACAGTTTCTTATGGGGCTCTTAATTCTAAGGACGAAACCTGGTTTTGTGGCCTTTGACTGGTTGGGTAAACAAGTTCAGGTAAGTCTGGTTCACAAAGAACACCTTGCTTTTAACATCTGAATGTAATCCTCAGCCTGTCAGAAGTAGGTTCATTTGTCTCCATTCGTTGGCCCATATTTCAATTCCATAGCATGAGTTAGACAAATAATTTTGTTTACATAGAATGTGTTAATCTGTTTAGTTTATTAATATTATTGCTGCCCCTTGCCCATATTGTCCACTACATCCCTCCCCAACCCTATTTCCCCCTTCATCCTGCCCAGGGGCGTCACACTTCTAAGATAGTCCCGAAAGCAGAACAGGCTTTCTTTGCGTCTAGCGGTACCTAGTGCTCCCATGTGCCATCTATGACTTGCCAGAGCAAACTACCACACTGGGCTTGTTCTGTAGCTTCTTGGAGTCAGACTGAATATCATAAACAACAGGAAATCTCTATGCTGGTATGCTTCAATAATATACCTCCATGCCCTCCAGTGAGGAAATGAACTTTCCAAGTAGTCTATCCAACCAGTTTGCTGGATCCCTAGCCTTTGCTGAGCCGCAAGTGTCCTGGGACAGTAGCCATAACTTCAGGGGTTTTAATGATCTGCTCTTTTTCTTTATTTGACTCAGACTTTCCTGGGGTACGCTGATGCTGGCGCTTTGTTTGTCTTTGGTGAGAAGTACACAGACCACCTCTTTGCATTCCAGGTAAGGCCAACCTCTTTTCTATGTGGACACTGCTTTTTCGGTAGCTTGTCACTCTTTATGAATTGTTCAGATAGAACCTACCTCTTGCCATCGAGTCGATTCCAACTCATAGTGACCCTATAGGACAGAGAAGATCTGCTCCATAGGATTTCCAAGGCAGTAATCTTTATGGATGCAGACTGCCACATCTTTCTCCCTTAGAGTGGCTAGTGGGTTCGATTCAATGACCTTTCAGTTAGGAGCCGAGCTCTTAACCACTGCACCACCAGGGCTCGTAGATAGAACCTAATGGACTGAAAACCAGTCATAGGACTGCCTACCATGTCGTAAGTGCATAATACATATCACTACCATTTTCCTTACAATTTCACCTGAAGTCAGGGGATGCTCACATTTTAGTTTGATAACTACAGTATTAGAGGAAACATCAAGAGGAGGTCAGAAGTAATCTAATACTTTTGGGGGACAGCAAGGACAGGGGAGCAATAGGGCAGGGGTGGGGAGAGACCCAGACCACACCGAGCTGTGGTCTATGTAGGGCAGAAACTGTAGAAACACAGTCCGCCTGGCAGGCACCCAAAGAGCATCTGGAAAATAGGAAATAGAAGAAGACAATCATCGCCGACACAGAGCTGAGCTAGTTTCCAAAGTTTAATCACTTCTTCAGTGATTGAAAAATACACAAGTAAAATAATCATTATTTTAAAAGCTAAAACAATGAATGCTTAAAGAGAAACAAAGTCCTGATACATGTTACGACATGGATGAACCTTGAAAACCTTATGCTGAGTGAAGTAAGCCAGACACAAAAGGCCAAATAGTGTATGATTTCACTTACATGCAATATATTAAATGGGCAAATGCATAGAGACAAAAGTCTATT